GGATGAAGTAAGGAGCCATATGAGCGGATGAAACACCAATTTCCGTCCTTCCACCTTGAGGACAAGGTGGTTCTTTGGGAGGGGGGTATTGATTGTCTGGTCCAAGATGGACCGGTCTACTCGGCCCCAAGCTAGGGTCGGCTCCTGATTTATTCCAGGCAGACAGGGAGCAGCTGGCCTCCCCTTGTTGTGCCCATGCTTTGATGGCAAATTCAAATAGGAGGGGGCGATTTTGGAGGTACATTAATCAAGGAAGGGATGTTTAGTAATTATGCGTTTATTTTGTATTCTCTAATAGGAGGGAAAATATTAGGGTTAGGGTTATGTGATTGTTTGTTGATTTTATGGTTTTTCTCTTAGGTGTTTGGGCTCTAGCCGCCGGCTAGAGATTTGGAGAGCCAGATCTTTCTCTCGAATCGGAGAACCATTGCATTTTGTTAATTTTTTTTTTATTTTTCTATCAATTATCAAGTCCTCTAGTGTCTTACCAATAGATTTCTTTCAAAATCTGCTTGATCCTTGCTGAAATTTGCAAACTCAGCCAAGAATTTCTTAATTTCTGCATTAACATCCTATCACAAATTTATACAGTTAATTGTAACTTTTTAACAAGTTTTTTAAAAATATAACGGAACTTAGAAACGTTGATCATTGATTTTAATGATGACAAACAATATGTTCTCATTTTTGTCCCAACGAGTACATCTAAGAGGCGTAAAGTGGTTGAATTGGGTGACAGAAAAATTTCAATTAAATCTGTGTAAAACAAACAGCCTAATGAGAGCAAAATCACATCAAAGAATACTGTGAAACAAATGCAAAATTCATAAAAGAGAGGATGTGGTAAATCGTTATGTGACAACAAACCACACATAAAAGACATATAACGACAACAAACCACACATAAAAGACACGAGATTTATAGTAAAATTATTAAATTACAGAATTAGTTAAATAACTGTTAAATTATCTAAACATAAGCACTCTATTTACTTTTCTCATTCCGTAGCCAACTACTGAAGGCAGAAACAGAGAAATGCTGCAGCCTGAAAAAGAAAACGAGAAGAATAAAGAAGAAAAAGAAGGGAAAAAAAAAACAAAGAGAGAGAGGCAGCTTAAGTTGGGTGAAGAATTTTGGGATTTTCGTCTTTTCTCCAATGAATTAAGATTGGCAGAGTAGTAGGCTTAAAAGACTTAAAAGTACTTTTAAGTAAAAATTAACACTTTGAGATTATTTTGTATAAGATCGGATTGTTAATTTAGGAAATGTTATAAATTTATAAAATCATTATCTTATGTTATTTAAGAAAGGTCACGACTTCGGAGAGATAAAATAAGAAAATCCTTCAAGATGAGAACCCAATAGTTTCACTGAGATACGCAATTTCTAATAAAAGAGGAAAATTGTTCATAGGTCTAATGTTTGCATATTTTTATGATTATCTTGATCAGTTATGTATGCGCTTGTAGAATTTCTTCATCTTGAGCATGCTAAAAAAGCTTCAGATTATCAAAAGGTTCAATGCATGTTATATGAGCGTTGATTCAAATGATTTCAAATTAATTTCATAAATGAGTATTCAAACAGACTTTTATATGTATCATATTTTAGTATATATATATTTCAACTAAGGAAAATGAAAAGTAAAAGTTTAAAATAATGAAGTTAAAATTTAAAGAAATACTAAGAAAGGCCGTGCAATATAAGAAAGTAGACAGACTGATGGCTTGTGCAAGAAGATGTAAAAGTTATGACGAGATGAGCTTTACTAAATAAATGAAAAAGAATTCCCGATACTGGAAAATTTGAATGGTTCGACCTATATTGAGTGGTCGTTGATGAATTCAATGTTAGATTCTATCAATGATTATTATGGTCAACCATCTAGATAACGACTTAATGATATAAATATGTCAAAGTCTATAAAAGCATCATATAACAATTCAAAGATAATGATTAGCATGAGTATTTAATATTCTTCATAAATGAAAGATGCAGGATAACATAACTATTATTAAACAAATAGTTACCATGCTCCAATTTTCTCATAAGCCACTTAAGCTTTCTCTTTTAAAGCCATCTTGAGGCAATATTGTAAAAGTTGGGACTATTTTGGTCAAAGAATCAAAGGAGCATTATGATCATTTTCCATATATATATATGTGTGCTTGTTTCTAGCTTCATGTTGTTTATTTGTGTTCGCATGAGGAAAAGTCCAACAAAAGAACTTGTGAATTGACTTTCAGCCAATGAAAAAACGCTGCTATAAGGGTTGGTCTAAAACCCTAGAAAAAAGATCAAGTTCCCATAGCTGTAAAAAGAAGGGAAAGTTTGTAACAATTTTGTCAATCATAGTTGATGAATACATTTAGTGAACTTTTCAAGCAGGAGCTTGATGAGTGGTCAAAGCTTAACTATAAGCTGAAAACAATAAATCTAGTGCTTATGTGTGGCTTGTTTCCTAGAATTGATTGTCGCACACCATTTTCAGATGTGACTCTACTCTTATTTACTTATTTGATTTAGTTAGTTTTAATCAAAAAAATTTATCACCTAATTCACACGCTCACCCTATCCTAGGTGTACTCTCAAGACTAACAAAAAATGATTATTTTATCCAGCACAACTTAATATAATGATTAGCAATATATACTCTTCAAATGCATTCCATATGGTTAAACTAACTTTATTGATATAGCTATTTCAATTTAGGGCCTAACTTTCCTTAAAGTCTCGGGTATTGGATAGCCATATCATCTCATGTACTCAGCCTTTGTTCAACAAATCTTAATCCCTTTGTCATCTAAAAGATGTATTTATTCTTTTTAAATTTCCACTCGGTTCAAAAAATATTTCAAATATCAAAATTATATCATATGAAAATAATTACATAAGGTCCTTTAGTATGAATATCAAGTCAATATAGAACTCAATTAAAGAGTGGTGCCAAGCATTATACCATGATGCAATTCAAGATCCTCTTAAGATTCTCTGACAAGTCTATATTGAGTCTTTTTCTTTGGATTTATCAAGCATGAAAGACCATATGTGGTGAACAAAAACAAATGAAGCAGGAGAGAAACTCTGATTCCTATTTACTTTACACTAGAACTACAATGGATCAATTAAATGAAATATTGGAGAGAGGACAGGAGGTTAGAAGGGGTGAGATGGCTCATCTAGGATTGCAAATCCATCTTGGGCTCAAAAGACTTGTTGCCTCAGCCAAATGACGAGCACAAAAATATCTCACACTGAATATTTTTGCGCACAACGAGTATTTTTTCTAAAAGAAAATGAATTCAAAGCATCACAACCACAAGGAAAACCACTGATTGGGAGACACAGTGAGATGCAAGCACACAATGAAAAGAGGGGTAGAGTGTTTTATTGAAGGCATTAAAACTAGTATTAAGATAACGATTGAAAGTTAGAAAGTATGCGGAGGAGACTAATAAGCGTATTCAATAATCTTGGTAGTGCATTGATCATGTCTTAATCTTAAAACATCATTGAATCTTAAGGGTTTAGGGGGTTTGCAGATGACACTTAAAATGGGTAGACTTGAGTTCTGGAGAAACTTGGCCTTGTTTAGAGTATTTACTCATCCTATAGGTCTTTCAATGTTTTTGAAAAGCTACAATAGATTTGGAAAAATTTTAAGAGTTTTTCTAGACATAGCCTATTGATCTGTCAATAAATTAAAGATACTTTGAAAACTTTTCCAATTTCACTTTTTTCTCCTACTTGCCCGAAACAGCAAGTTCTCTCTGTTTTGAGTTTGCATCCACTAAACAGCAAAACCAATTATAGAATTCTTTTTCTGCATTGCTGGAAAAAAGTAATCAGATTGCAGTTTTTGCTGAAAACATTACCCGAAACATTTTTCAGGTCCTGGATAGGGGGGATATTGATGGCAGCAGCATTTTGTCAAAGCATAGAGTAAAACAATAAACAAAGGGCAAAACAGCTGCTAGAAAGAAGCAAGCAGATGCTGCTACAGTACTAAGCCTGTAGTTATAGTAATCAAACGTTGCAACAGCACCAAGCGCTTTGGTTATAGTACCAAGCAATTTTGCTCTTCAGCTGAAATAGAGAGGATGGGAGGAAGAACTATTTTTGATTTTCTACATAATTCCAGACTTATAAATAGGCAATGACAGTAGGGATTGATCCAATCAATAACTAAACAAACCCCACCAAAAAAAGGACCCCATCTATGATAACAACCCACATAAATTGAACTATAAACATAATTCCAGCTAGATTTATCCTAATCCTAAATTATACATTAAAAAATAAGCTTATCTAAACAAGTTTAAAAATTCAAATTTAATATTATCTGTTGTAATCTAAATTTCAATCCAATGGTCCGGCTTCCAAGGAATTGATCTCCCTCATATGATGTCTTGTAGACGATGCAATAGTGCCTATGAATTCATGGCAACATTCTTTTTGATATAAATATCAAAACTACTGTTAATCCCCATAAAGAGATCGTATTGTTAAAATTTCAACGAACATGATCCCTTTGATCTTTTCATGATCAAATACTCAAATCATCATCACATATGATATGATTGATCATAAATTTTATCTAATGCCCAAATCATTTAAACCTATAATTATGTTCATTAATATAAATCCTAAAATTTTAACATTTAGACTATGATAGTTATGAATTTCAAACAACGTGTAGTTTTTAGAACTTTCATGCTCTCATTTGATTATCTTGTTAATCATTCTTAGTCTCTTTACCTAATTTATTGTTCACATACTTCATCACTTAATGAGTTAAAGGTGTATCAGCATAGTCAGAAGAGACAAACCGACTCCAGATGATGATGATGCCACTTCCAATATCAAAGCCAACTATAATCGACATAGAATCCATAATAAAATGTTTTACTGAAAATCTCTTTAACAGTCTTTGCTGCATAATTCAGAGAGTTGTTGTTCCAAGGTCAGCATAAACTCAGCATAGATGATGCATAACTACCTTAATAACTGCTGTAGCTGAAGATGATATGGAGCGTAGGTTATAGCTGCACAAAGAAATGAAAAACAAACAGGTTAAAATTGCTACACTTGATAATGAACAACTAAACAAGCATATAAGACCACACACCCTCCCTCAAGTATCACCAGCAACTTTCCTTGTGAGAGGGAGGATAACATATGTGTCATCATTGCATATCCAGCAGGGGTCACCTAACACAAAGGAAATCCAAATGAGGAATAGCAATTAGCATGCCAAAGCTAAGCAAAAAAAAAAAATCATTTTCTTCTGCAATTGATGGAAGTCAATTATTAAATAAAATGAGAATATTACTATTAGGAAAATACAATAATTTTTTTATTTGTTTGTTGTTCTATCAAAAGGTGGACATAAAGAACTGGTTAAGTTGTTTCCATTATGATCTCAATCGTGAAGATAGCCTCTCTGCAAAGCAAACAAAAGGCTGCATGCCCCAACCCTGCACAGGTGGGCTAATGCAATTGATAGACCAAATTGCCTATCGAATTAACCAACCAAGGGACTTCCACATGTAGAAAAAAAGGGGGCAGCCTAAAAGATTGTACTCCATGATTGGCGGAACTTTAAGTGGAGTAACATTGTATCCTCTCACAATACTGCTTCAATCAAACTATGGCATAGACAGGCTATATTGCAAAAAACTTTTTAAGTCACACAGCATTTTACAATGTTTAACAGGATTCTGAAAAAAGTTAAAGCCAGCAAATTTTTCAAAATAGTGTACAGACTTCAACCAGGAAAAGTGGAGGGTTACGTTAGGTAGTCGACAGCCAGCGTAAAACTTGTCGAATAATAATAACATGAATCCTTTAAGAAATTGTGTTAATGCTAGGGCGTCCCCTGGAAGCGACACGCTATATGGCCTGAATACAGTGACAAGTGTGCGAGGGCCGCTGCACCGGCGCCCGGGTGCAGTGTTAAATAGGCAAGGATTCCCACATCAAGGACGGATGTGGGCAAAGAAGCTAGTCCATGAAACTAAAATTAGGATAGGGACTTGGAATATAGGTTCCCTTACAGGAAAATTAATGGAATTAATAGATATTATGATTCATAGGAAGATAAATATTTTGTGCATTCAGGAAACTAAATGGGTTGGAGAGAAGGCTAAGGAAATTGATAATTTAGGATTTAAACTTTGGTATTCGGTTATGAGTCATACTAGAAATAGTGTAGGTGTTATTATAAATAAGAGTTTGAAGGATAATGTTATAAAAATTAATAGGTTTGGAGATAGAATTATAACTTTAAAGATTGTTGTTGATGATAAGATTGTTAATATTATAAGTGTATGCTCCTCAAGTAGGTTTGGATATGAGTTCTAAATTAAAATTTTGGAATGACTTAGAAGATTTAGTACAAAAGATACCTCTAGAAGAAAGAGTTTTTATTGAGGAGATTTAATGTACATGTTGGTACAAAGGTAGATGATTTTAAAAGCATTCATGGTGGCTATGATTTTGGAATAACAAATGAAGGTGACAAAACCATATTAGATTTTTGTTTAGATTATAATTTTTCAATTGCTAATACCTTATTTAAGAAAAGGAATGAGTATCTCATCACTTATTAAAATAGATATATTACAACCCAAATTGACTATTTTCTTATAAGAAAATAAGATCGTTTAGATTCCAAATATTGTAAAGTTATTCCAAGTGAAAATTTATGTACCCAACATCAATTATTAGTTTTGGACTTTAAGATAAAAGGGCAGATAATAAAAAATAAAGTAAAATGATATTCTAGGATTACATGGGGACATTTAAAGAATATTAACAAAAATATTTTTGAGAGTAAGATTTTAGATCTTAAGATTCTGTCTGTGCATGAGGATACTAATATTATGTGGGAAAAAGTGGCTGGTGATATTAAGAATATTGCAAAAGATATGCTTGGAGTTTCAAAGGGAAAAACTATCAATAGTAAAAATAGTTGGTGGTGGAATCCAAATGTGTAAGAAAAGATAAAAAATAAGAAGATTTGTTATAAAAATTGGTTTAGATGTAAAATTCTGATAATTAGGAAAGCTATAAAGAGGCTGGTAAGGAATGTAAGAAAGCTATTTGCGATGCAAAGAGCTTAGCTTTTAATGATTTATATAATAGATTAGATATTAAGGAGAGAGAAAGATATATGTATAAGTTAACCAAACAAATAGATAAGAGTAGTAAGGATTTAGTTCAAGTGAAGTGTATTAAAGATGAAAATCAAAAAAATAATTTTCTTAGAAGATGATATTCAACAAAGGTGGATGAAGTATTTTGCTAAACTTTTTAATGAAGA